CCCCCCCCCCCCCCCCCGCTCGACACATCTTTCGGATAATTTGTCGGCAAAATTTGAACTTTTGTCGGTAAATACAATACCACCCCTCCCCCCTGCTTAAGCCTCTTCGCGACGACCCTGCCTTTTATGATACTCACTACACCACAACAATATTATTGTTAACTGGCTTCTTCTTTGCTGGGAAATATTTCTTCTTCAGCAACTTGTAATTTTTTCTTGTAAAGACAAACGCAACACCTATGTAGAAACTAGTAAGGAACATTACAGTAATTAACGCTGTCTGTATGTGAACATTATTAATGAATACATATATCATGATAGGCAACCAATAGGTTATGGAAGTAATAGCGAACAGCTTAAGATTTAGGACAAAGCTATTGCGATTCTTAACAATATTCGATCTCTGTGCGATGCTACTGCTTGCCTTGAGTTTTTGGCGAAGTCGATAAGCACTGAAGGAGAACATTTCAATAGTGTACAGCAACAGAAGGATAATTGGAAAAACATATACAAGACACAATTGCCAGCAATATTTGGATAAAACCTTAAAACATCAACCTTTACTAGTATAACGTGTACAACAGTTATAATGACAGGAACACCCCAGCTAAAAAGACTATACTTCAGAAAGGTTTTCCACTTTTTTCCATCAGATTTCACTAGAATATTGCCAGAAAAGGTTTTTCCTAAGTGATGCACATTAACAGCAGAATTCATAAGTATGCTATACATAGAAAACCAATTTGTCATTTTTTCCCGCGCACAAAGCATATCATTCATTTCAACTGCACGCATATACAGCGAAACTACTACTACAAGATAAGACTGCCAGAACAAAAACGCGAAGCTTGAACTCATTAAATTCAACCCAGGCAGAGTGTGAAGTTCAGGAAGCATGCCATAAACTATCAACAACAATACCAAACAAATATAAGAAAGTACGAAAGCGCATGTTACAATGATTGCTCCTATCGGCATATCATTCTTGTTTGCTGCGATTATAAGATTTACATGTTTGGCATATTCGGTCGGACCAACATTGCTTTCTGTGGTCGCATCAATTTCACGTCTGCTCCGGAGATGTTGAGTTGTGAGTGAAGCGAACTTTTCTCTTTTAGCTGTTCCTGTCATGTCATTCAGGGGAAAATTTTGATTTTCCAATGGAGATATATTTTTGCTGCCATTGACATTGTTTTGCCACAATTCTTCGCGTGGAACTTTTATCACGGACGGCGAAGGAGTTGAAAGAAACCGTACCGGGCTCTTCCGTATCAGTCTATCATGATCATTTCGGAGTGTTTTCATCGCAGTTTCTAAAAATGAAATTATGGTTAACAATTACTCCTTCCGAATTGCAAACATTCTCACATTTTCAAAATTTACCTTTTCTAACCATCTTTGAAACTGGATCAGTTTTCTTTCGCGCCTTTCTACGGCTAATTTGTTTAGCATTTTTTGTCAAATGAAAGGCGCGTTCGTCCTCAGCATTCAAGAGTATATCATTGAATTCTTCTTTTAATTTGTTCAGTTCTGCTTTATCTTCGCACCGGTCATATCTTGAACAACCACCATGATCAAAACAGGCGAAAATCAGACAAAAGCAAAAGAAAACGACTCGATACAAGAGTCGAAAACGAAAGCCAAGATCCATGTTGCAATTGCAAGGCTCCTTGGCACAGAAAAATTGTCATTTTTTTGCCGTACACACGAGCAAATAAAGCTTGTCAAGGAAAAATTACCAGGTCTGTCCGGGACTTTACTCAGGGCTGAAAATTACCGAACGGTAACCTCATCTTTTCCATGTACGTTTTTCGATCTTTATATGTACAGATGAAAAATATATACTAGCTGGCTATTTTCTTTAAGAAAGGAAAAATTTCGTTTTCTTTAAATTTAAATTTTTTTGGCAATATACAGAATTTTATATTGAGATTGTAGAATATAAATTATTCTCTGTTTTATTATTGATGTGCAAATTTTGAACGTGATATATACTGTCAATCAACTAATTAAGCGAAACATTAAAATATGGATGGCGCTTGTTTTCTTACTTACTCACGGCGTTCGCAATTATAACAGCCAACAGATGAAATAAAGCTGGATGGAGAGAGCAATTCGCAACGTCTTTTTAGGGGTTTTTATTGGTTGTTATTTCCGCGCACAGGATTAATCATGTATATTTACCGACAATTCATACGCAATTTCAATTCGTGAGCATTTATATGCACACTCATGTAATTTCTACTTATCTTTCAATAGATCTGATGATCTTGTGTCGTCGCCAAACCAAGTGCAGTGTTTACTAAACTGTCAACTAATTGAACTCACAATTGTTCATTGGGCTAAAATATTCATATTTCATTGACAGGTTTTTTTACCTGTTTCAGATATGTCACGAATACTTTTAAAATAGTGATGGAGGAAGAAATAATATTTCCTATACAAGAGTAATTGTTTTCAAACAATTTAATATGCTCTGTACAAAAATGTCAGTAAAATACACATCGACTCACAATCACTGGAAAAAATTTTGAAAATCCATGACAGAACTTCATCTTGTCTTCTGTGAACTTCACATAAAATGTGAAATTAACATAAATTATCCGAATAGATCTAGAATTAATGTTGTTTTGTTCATTTCCATTCCAATTTCGCGCACTCCCCTGATCCTCTACAGCAAGCACGCCTAGCAGTCGTTAAATTATTTTTCTGTAGCGCGAACATATGTGATACGTATCCCATAACATAAATTCATAGTTTAGTTTAGTTTAGTTTAATGAATTTGCCATATATTACATATAATATCATTAATTATAAGTATATGACAGGAGTTTGAACAGGACTTGCGTCCCAATTGCAACAGAACCCCTTTACATAAAACTCCAAAAATATCGGAGAAACAACAATAAATTATAAAATCAAATAAATAAATAAGCGAGTAGGTAATACTATACTAGGGAGGACAATAGTCCAAACACATAGATGAATAAAAGTTATAAATGGCAGTCTTGAATGTTCGAATGGATTCGCACTGTTTCACCTGAGATGGCAAAGTGTTCCAGAGTTCGGCTGTTCTTATGAAGTAAGATTTCCTGTAATAATCTTGCTTATGCTTTATAATTAGATTATAGTTATTTATGTCATAATTACGTGTTCGATACCCAGGCTCAAACACTGTCAAAAATTTATTAATGTCGGTGGTTACCAAGCCATTTCTCGATTTAAAGAAAAATGTTAAGTCTGAAATTTGTCTACGGTGTTCTAAAGGCAATAAGTTTAGTTTTATCAATCTATCAATATACTTCATATCTTCAGGATAGTTTAGAATAAACTTGGTAGCTCTTCTCTGGACATTTTCAATTAATTTCACGTATTTCTTGATGTAAGGCGACCAAAGACTACTACCATATTCCAGCTTGGGTTGTACAAGAGCACAGTATATTATTTTTCTAGTTTGTATATCTTGCAAATCACGGAAAATCCTTTTCATTAGCCCAAGGGTCCTGTTAGCTTTAACAACAATTTTCTCAATATGATCTGCCCAGGATAAATTGTGACATATAGTAATCCCGAGGTCGACAAATGAAGGCACACACTCAATCGGTTGGTCACCAAGACTGTAATTTCTATTCATTTCCAGAGTTAACCTTTTCTTTGAAATATGTAATACTTTGCATTTCCGCGAATTGAAGTCTAATCCCGAACTGAGGCTCCATGTATGTAGACAGTCTAAATCGGCTTGAAGTAAGTTATGGTCATAATTTATGTCCATCGCCCGATACAATTTCGAGTCATCAGCGAAAAGTGCAATATTCGAGTTATTAATAATGCAACTTGGTAGATCATTCACATAAACCAAAAACAACAAAGGTCCTAGAATGGAGCCCTGTGGCACGCCTGATGTTACTGGTAGCCAATCAGAAGAAGCACCCTCCACGACAACCCTCTGTTTTCGATCAGAAAGATAACTCTTCATCCATAACAATAGTGGACCTGTGATACCATGCAACTGAAGTTTCAAGAGTAACAAATTATGAGGCACTTTGTCAAATGCTTTGGCTAGATCAAGATACAACACATCTACCTCCTTTCCACTTGCGACAGAGTTTACAATATCATCATAGACCTCGACAAGTTGTGTTACTGTTGATCGACCCTTCATGAAACCATGCTGTAAATGGTATATCTGAGGCTTCAGATGCTTACTACAATGATTAAATACACAGCGTTCGAGTACCTTGGAAATTGTATTTAGGAGCGAGATGGGTCTATAATTGGAGGAGGCTGTTGGGTCGTCGGTTTTTAAAATCGGCGAAAGATTTGCTAACTTCCATTCTGAAGGAACAACCCCCTGGGATAGCGACAAGTTAAATAGCTTGCATAGGGATGGTGCAATTTCGGTCGACACGTTCTGAAGAAGTCTGTTCGGTATTCCACCCGGGCCACAAGCCTTATTAGGATCCAAGCTCTGGTCAATAAGATTTGAGTCTTTTTCACCAGCAGATTCTTCAGAATTGTCTTTACTGCAAAACGTGTCTTGTTTCATCAATGAACCACTCTTACTGCCTTCGGAAACTGTGTTGCCATCGAAAGTAATGTACAGGTGGTCGTCGTATGTTCGCATATTGATGTATTCCTGTTTTTTTCCTGTTTTCATATATAATATATAGCTGTATTACGTTCCTATACTACTACTCTAGTGTACAAAATGAGTAAATATATATATTTCTTTGAGTCGCAAACAGAGGGGGCCCAGACCTCTGAATGATCCTATTGGAACATTCGCGATGAATTGTCGGTGATAGATGGAATCATCATCGTATTGTCGTACCATTAGCAATGAGAAAGGAAATGCTACAAAAAATACATCATGCATGGTCACATGGGGATCGAGAAGTCGGAGCGAAGAGCTCGGGATGCTCTTTATTGGCCTTTGATGAGCAAGCAGATAGCTGAAATGGTATCGAACTGCTCCGTATGTCAAATGATAATCTTTCAGAGTACCAACCATACCTTGGAAAGTGGTGGCAACAGATTTAATATTTATAAAATTTGCTGTGTTGGTGTAATGTACTCAGGTGAATAAGATGCTTGTGTGATGTTATTCTGAGTATACACTCAGAATAACATCACACAAGCATCTTATTCACCTGAGTACATTACACCAACACAGCAAATTTCATGGTTATTAGATTACACTGATATCGAAGGAACTAGACTCAGTTCCGAAATATCGCATACTCGAACCGGCCTGACCGCGTAGCTCAGTTGGCAGAGCATTGGGCTAGTATTCCAAAGGTCGTAGGTTCGAATCCCACCGTGGCCAGGCATATTTTTCAAGCCTGCCTGGTGTGGATATACACTCAGAGTAACATCACACAAGCATGAGATTTAATATTTAGTTTGGACAACTCGGACTATCTACTTATTGTTAACTATCTTTCCAGATACTTTCAAGTTGTTAAGTTACCAGACACAAAGAGTTCAACGGTTATCACGTACACCAAGTCGATATTCTCCCGACATGGTATTTCTGCAGACGTCGGTAGTGATAATGGGCCACAATACAGCTCCTTTAGAGAATTTCAAGCATTCGCAGAAAGCTGGGAATTCAAGCATGCGGTCCAGTTAGTCTCCTCAACCCACAAGCCAATGGTTTAGCAGAAAGGACTGTACAAACTATCAAAGATCTTTTAGTTAAATCGAAGAAAGATCAACGAGATTCATATTTAAATATGTTGGAATATCGAAACGCTCCTATCGATGATGTGGGAAGTCCAGCGCAGTTACTGATGAATAGGCGTTTGCGTTCAGGAATTCCTCAAACGATATCGCATTTGAAGCCTCGTGTTCCAGATTCTGTTAAAGTAAAGAAAAAATTGAATCTCAACCAACACAAACAGAAATTCTATTATGATCGTCAGTCAAAATCCCTTACTAAGTTACACGAAGGAGATAGAATTAGAGTAAGAATGAAAGGTTCATGGAAACCAGGTGTTGTCACTCGTGAAGAACAAACACCGAGATCGTATCGTATCAGACTGATGATGGTGGTGGTGCATATAGGAGAAACAGAAGAATGCTTCTGAAATCTGTGGAATCTGATCTGTAGCAGAGGACATGTTTAGTGATGAAATCCTTTCAACAAGAATTCGGAGTATACCCCTCAGAGTTATACCCTAAAAACCCTGCAAATGTTCAAGCACTAGTCACTTCTGATGAAACCCAATCTCAATCGAGTACAATCCCAGAAATTATCCCTCCATCTACAGAAGTTAGAACAACATCGAGAGGAAGAATAATAAGGAGATCATCAAGATTTAATGATTTCATAATGAAGTAAACGTTTGACTATGCAGATTAAATGATTTATTTAATAACATACCTGAACTTTAGAGCCTGTGTTAGATAATTAGAAATATTATAAAGAGATTCAGAACAGTAAAACTTTAAGAATTAACGACCTTTTTTTTTCTTTTCCATAAGGAAGTTGTTTTGAAGTTGCAGATTATAACTCTCAACCCATGAAGAGGCAGATTGAACTCAGATTATTATAGCTATAAATTATAAAGAACTCCTGTTACATTGACCTCGTGTGAGTAGAGTTAAGTTAAGGCACGTTTTATCAACCAACCGTGTTGCGGAAATTTGCTGAGATTTTCGGCAGGGGTGGAGACTGATGGTTGCCCTCTTAGGAAACAAAACGTGAAAAACAGAAATTTGGAATTTTTTATTTACTTTAATAATTACATGTACTACAAACATCTAAAATACAATATATACATATTTTTTTTAAGTAATACCATTAGATCTTTTAATGCCTTTTTTCTTTGGGTAGAATACGTTATACTTTTTATACAAGTGTGTACATGATGACAGACATTACAGACTATTAAATTGCTTACTTAATACATACTTGCTTCCTTACATACTTGTTTACTGGATCATTGACTTACTGACATATTCTGACTACAGGGCCGTCGCTATTGGGGGGTGTTATTGGCAAAATGAAGAATTTCGTCGACTATTTTTACATTGTTAGTCTAATCAAATTTGACCTGCCACCCCTCCCTCCCGGTCGACACATATTTCGGATAATTTGTCGGAATGTCGCCAAAATTTGTCGGTAAATACAATACCAAGCCTCTTCGCGACGGCCCTGTCTGATATGATACTCACATCCCTACCACAGTATTATTCTTAATTGGCTTCTTCTTTGCTGGAAAATATTTCTTCTTCAGCAATTTGTAATTTTTTCTTGTAAAGACAAACGCAAGACCTATATAGAAACCAGTAAGGAACGCTAGAGCAGTTAACGCTGCCTGTACGTGAACATTATCAATGAATGCTCCGATCGTGAGAGGCAACCAATAGGTTAAGGAAGTAATAGTGAACAGCTTAAGATTTATGACAAAGCTATTGCGATTCTTAACAATATTTGATTTCTCTGCGATGCTACTACTTGCAGCCTTGAGATTTTGGCGAAGTTGATTAGCACTGAAGTAAAACTTTCTAATAATGTACAGCAACACAAGGATAATTGGAAGTACATGTACAAATGGCAGAATAACATCATTATCTACACAATCAGTGCCAGCAATATTTGGATAAAACCTTAAAGCATCAACCGTTACTAGTACAATGTGGACAATAGTTATAATGACAGGAACACCCCAGCTAAAGAGACTATACTTCAGAAAGGTTTTCCACTTTTTTTCATCAGATTTCACTAGAATATTGGCACAAAAGGTTTTTCCTAAGTGATACACATTAACAGCAGAATTCATAAGTATAGCATACACAGAAAACCAACTTGTCATTTTTTCCCACGCACAAAGCATATTATTCATTTCAACTGCACGCATATACAGCGAAACTACTACTACACGATAGGACTGCCAGAACAAAAACGCGAAGCTTAAACTCATTAAATTCAACCCAGGCAGAGTGCGAAGTTCAGGAAGCATGCCATAAACTATCAACAACAATACCAAAGAAATATAAGAAAGTACGAAAGCGCACATTACAATGATTGCTCTTATCGGCATATCATTCCTGGGTTTGGCGTATTCGGTCGGACCAACATTGCTTTCTGAGGTCGCATCAATTTCACGTCTGCTCCGGATATGTTGAGTTGTGAGTGAAGCGAACTTTTCTCTTTCAGCTGTTCCTGTCATGTCATTCAGGGGACTGAAATTTCGATTTTCCAATGGAGATACATTTTTGCTGCCATTGAAATTGTTTTGCCATGTTGTATCACTTGAGTGGGATATGTTAGTCGATTCTTCGCGTGGAACTTTTACCACAGGACTCACGGGCAGCGATGGGGTTGAAAGAGGCAGTACTGGGCTCTTCCGTATTCTATCACTTCGGAGTGTTTTCATCGCAGTTTCTAAAAACGAAATTATGGTTAACAATTACTCCTTCCGAATTTCAAACATTCTCCCATTTTCAACATTTACCTTTTCTAACCATCTTTGAAACTGGATCAGTTTTCTTTCCCGCCTTGCGACCATCAATTTGTTTAGCATTTTCTGTCAAATGAAAGGCGCGTTCGTCCTCAGCATTCAAGGGTTTATCATTAAATTCTTCTTTCATTTTTAATTTGTTCAGTTCTGTTTTATCTTCGCACCGGTCATATCTTGAACCACCACCATGATAAAAACAGGCGAAAATCAGACAAAAGCAAAAGAAAACGACTCGATACAAGAGTCGAAAACGAAAGCCAAGATCCATGTTGCAATTGCAAGCTACTGTGTATTATTTCGGCAAAACACAAGTTTAAAACGTTTTTAAGTTTGCATGTTTTGATGTCATGCACCTGCTGTTCTACTGATCACACACTCGAAACACAAGTTTTGTTGCTCACGCACGTGTGCTGTGAACCAAGGCCGTTGAGAGCAGCCTCCAATAAGGGGAGGGGGGGGGGGGGGGAGAGAAGCAAAAAACTTCCTGATTTTATACCTGTCTTATAATTTTACCTTAAAATATCAATTAAAATTTCTTTCCCACAATTGTTGAGGGGAAGGGCAGGTCACCATAAAATGTTTTTCTCAAATCAGTTCAGCGAACGTCATGCTGAACTTATACCACTAGCTATTAACCGAAATCTTATATTTTATGCTAATTCTTCGCGGATTTCAGACACGATAGTTACCTGAATTTTCAACCAAACATATCTGATCCCCCCTCCCCACCAAGTCGCTACGGCCCTGCTTGACAATTTTTGTTGCTCTGTGCACGGAATGTTGTTAAGCATTTATTTCATGTCAAGGTCGCCTTTTGTTTGCCACTTGTACACTTAACAAATTTTCCTTGCCCAAAAGCTGGCACGAGTAGCTTGGAACAAGGCTCCTTGGCACAGAAAAATTGTCATTTTTTTTTTCCGTACACACGAGCAAATAAAGCTTGTCAAGGAAAAATTACCAGGTCTGTCCGGGACTTTAGTCATTGCTGAAAATTACCGAACGGTAACCTCATCTTTTCCATGTACGTTTTTCGATCTTTATATGTACAGAAGAAAAATATATACTAGCTGGCCATTTTCTTTAAGAAAGGAAAAATTTCGTTTTCTTTAAATTTAATTTTTTTTTGGCAATATACAGAATTTTATATTGACATTGTAGAATATAAATTATTCTCTGTTTTATTATTGATGTGCAAATTTTGAACGTGATATATACTGTCAATCAACTAATGAAGCGAAACATTAAAATATGGATGGCACTTGTTTTCTTACTTACTCACGGCGTTCGCAATTATAACAGCCAACAGATGAAATAAAGCTGGATGGAGAGAGCAATTCGCAACGTCTTTTTAGGGGTTTTTATTGGTTATTATTTCCGCGCACAGGATTAATCATGTATGTTTACCGACAATTCATACGAAATTTCGTGAGCATTTATATGCACACTCATGCAATTTCTACTCATCTTTCAATAGATCTGATGATCTTGTGTCGTCGCCAAACCAAGTGCAGTGTTTACTAAACTGTCAACTAATTGAACTCACAATTGTTCATTGGGCTAAAATATTCATATTTCATTGACAGGTTTTTTTACATGTTTCAGATATGTCACGAATACTTTTAAAATAGTGATGGAGGGAGAAATAATATTTCCTATACAAGAGTAATTGTTTTCAAACAATTTAATATGCTCTGTACAAAAATGTCAGTAAAATACACATCGACTCACAATCACTGGAAAACATTTTGAAAATCCATGACAGAACTTCATCTTGTCTTCTGTGAACTTCACATAAAATGTGAAATTAACATAAATTATCCAAATAGATCTAGAATTAATGTTGTTTGTTCATTTCCATTCCAATTTCGCGCACTCCCCTGATCCTCTACAGCAAGCACGCCTAGCAGTCGTTAAATTATTTTTCTGTAGCGCGGACATATGTGATACGTTTCCCATAACATAAATTCACTATTGTCATTTACAGTAACTACTTTTTGCACCTAATTCGGTTAATGAATAATCCAATTCATGAAATAGAAATCATGTATAATGTACAGCTTTTGTTGGATATAATGATGATTTCACGCCAATTGTATATGGAATAAAATTCCTTCAATGTGTGGTTTGGCTCTCGTTCTCGTGTTATCTTCGGTTTTCAATTTAATATAATGAATTCAATGTTCTCATGCTGGTCAATAAGATTTGAGTCTTTTTCACCAGCAGATTCTTCAGAATTGTCTTCACTGCCAGACGTGTCTTGTTTCATCAATGAACCACTCTTACTGCCTTCGGAAACTGTGTTGCCATCGAAATTAATGTACAGGTGGTCGTCGTATGTTCGCATATTGATGTATTCCTGTTTTTTCCCTGTTTTCATATTTAATATATAGCTGTATTGCGTTCCTATACTACTACTCTAGTGTACAAAATGAGTAAATATATATATTTCTTTGAGTCGCAAACAGAGGGGGCCCAGACCTAAACTTTAAAGCCCTCTCCCCCCTGGGTACCATCTAACTTTGAATAGAGTTACTCCACGATGGACTGCGCGTGCGCAAAAGCGGTAATTTGACCGTGAGCAAAAGAAGGGTTGAAGAGAAAGCAGAATAGAAATCGACGTCGAAATTAATATATTTAAATGTTGGAAAGCCATATCCATATGAGAATTATGGAATCTTAAGAAAGACCGGACATCCAACAGCTTGGGACATCGGACATTTGTCCGGCTGAAAAAGTCAAAACTTTCGATTTATCCGGCAAAACTTTCGATCTGCCGGGCATTTTGTCCGTTTTTCAACTTCGTTCTCAGAGGAAGCCTGTGAATGAGGTTGCACTATATCCTGATATTACAGTACATGATGCAACAACTGGACGAAAGTTTTCTATATATACACACAGCACATTTGAATAAAAATCATTGGCCATGGCACAAGCTAAAGTTAATATAAGTATTATTTCCTAAACTTACAAATTCATCACTGCACATCCGATCCAAATACCGAGCAAGCATTTCAATGTTTGGTCTTCGAAGAGTTGGAACTTGCCAGCAATCCAACAGAAGGTTATACCTGTAATGAAGAGTAATAAATCATGCAATTACCTCATGGAGAATCATGTAAACAATGAAAGAAGGTAAAGGAAGAGAACGAACATTAAATATATAATAAGCAAACGAACAGACAAACCATTTCATTTTCAGATTCAAATCTGAGTGACTTCGGAACGATATTAGCAATCGACGAAATAAAACAATTTAGACATTTTTAGCTTGTCAAGTTTTCTCTGGAGGGCGCGCAGAGCATTTGTAATTATAACGACTAGTCATGATTGGGTTTTAAAGTATAATATACAGAACCTCATGTTCTGTCCAGAGAAAACTTGACAAGCTAGAAATGTCTAAATTGTTTTATTTCGTCCATTTTCAAAAGCTGCATGAATTCGGTTTTTCTGGTTCTCTCCTCCTGTGGTTTAAGAATTATTTATCCGGACGCTTCCAACGAGTAACTGTTCACGGTGCTACGTCGACCACTTTATCCATTACTTCTGGGATTCCACAAGGATCGTTATTGGGTCCCTTTCTATTCTCTGTATATATCAATGACTTACCTAGCTATGTATCATCCTCTACTTGGGTCGGACTGTTTGCTGACAACACCAGGCTGTATCGTTGCATAAAGAATCCTTCTGATGCCTTGGTCTTGTTAGAGGATATTCAAGGTCTTCGATGTTGGTCAAATGAAAACCACCTTCATTTCAATCAATCCAAGTGCAAGGTACTCTCTATAACCAGAAAAACATCACCTTTGGTTTCTCCATACAGTCTTGCCGGTGACCTGTTGTCCTTTTCTGATGCTGAAGTTGACCTGGGTATAACTATTAGTCCCAAATTAACATGGATCCATCAAGTGAGCAAGGTGAAGTCCAAAGCTAACAAATTGCTTGGATTAATTAGGCGGTCTACCTTGGAGATGACTGACATCAAGGCGAGAAAGTATCTGTACTTACAGCTCGTTCGAAGCAACCTTGCGTACGCATCCCAAGTATGGTGTCCACAGTCCGTACAGTTAATTGAAAATATCGAGAAGGTGCAGAGAAGAGCAACCAAATTTATTCTTAATCTTGGGTTTGTCACCAACATACCGTATCCAACAAGACTACATAACCTAGATCTACTACCCATAACTTACTGGCACGAATACCTGGATATATTCCTACTCTATAAAATTATTAACAATTATACATATATTGACGACAGTGTTCGACCGGTTATATCAGGATCAGGAATCACTAGAAGTGAAACTAATGACAATCGAATTAAATTCTTAATACCTTATGCCAAAACTGTAACGTTCCAGTCCTCGTATTTTATTAGAGCTTGTAAAACCTGGAACATCCTAAGTGATAATCTTCGAGACAGAAACATTGGTTTTTATGCTTTTAAATCAGGATTGAAATTGTATTATAAGAACGCACTATTGAACACGTATAACTGTGACGATCCTCGGACTTGGAAATCTGTCTGTGTTCAATGTAAAAGGGCTAGATCCCTTGATGGTGTTTTAAACTGTTGTTAGTTGTCAGTTTAGCCGTTTTGTAATTGTGTTGTTCTACTTTGTCTGTTTCGTTAATCAATTATTTGAACGTAATTTTTTATGTAAATATTAAGGGATCGCCGTAATTGGGGGAACCTGTGGCGAACTCCCTGGCACTACATTGTTGTATATTTAGGTAGTTGCCGAATCTTATTAAAACATTAAAACATTAAAACATTTAATGTTAATGAAGAGTGGTATTGAATATTTTTCGATTGCTTTTACCGTTCCGAAGTTATTGTGGATTTCTAATGAAAATCACCCGTCTCTTTTCAGCTTTGAATCTGGGGATGAAATCACGAATCTGAAAATGAAATGGTTTGTCTCTTCTCAATCAACAAAGAGATCAGAAAAATGTCTATCAACTAGGCATCGACATTTTAAAACCATCTACTCTATATAGTGGCAGCGACTCTTTGACATGGTATAAAGTGTGGCGAAACAAGCATATATATCAAAATAATGATACATGGTTTTTATGGGAGATTCGCATCTGTGCTGTATACTAGAATGTGTTCATAGAACATGCTAAGTTGACTAGAAGGTTGAAAAATAGTGCAAGAGAATCCTGTCAACATAGTCAACTTACAATTCATCACTGCAATGCTTTGGTTTGTCCATTCTCATTCCATTCGGCAAAAAGCTCACGACTTCTTGCGAGTTCATTCCAGGATATGGGGATGCGCCTGTAAAATATAACAAATATTGGGCATGCCATTTATTTTCCCGAAACAAAAATATTGGGATACAGTGATAGTGTAAGATTGTATGTGGTTACTGTAACGTGTCAGTTATCCAAAAATGTGTATACACCCTTCCGGAAGAACTCAGCCTTGGCTATACAGCTCCATTTTCGTGATTGGAGATATTGGCTTTAGAGTATTTTATCTTGTTACAGATGTACACATTTACGAAATCATACAGTTATGTTAAGTGATGTAAAAGACCTTGATATAATTAGATCACCAGTTAAACGATAAACGGCTCTAAGCCTCTAAATAAATTGCGTCAACTGACATGAGTAGTTTTGTAAAAAAACTAAAATAATTTTTCTTACCAAGTGTGATAATTTCCCACAGCACCAACAGACAAGAAAAGTGTGGAGACACTGCTTGGAACTGTGAACTATTTAGGAAAATTGATTCCAAATTTAGCAATCCTTACCAAACCAATCAGACCGTTCGAGCAACAGAAAGCATTTCAGGATATTGAGGACACTCTCACCAAAGATGAAGATCCAGTATTAAAGCTTTCTATGTATCGAAGCAGGTCACCATTAGCTGTGATGCGTCACCTACAGGTTTGGGGGCAGTTTTGTTGCAGGATGGCTACCCAGTGGCGTATGCGTCAAGGTCGTTGACTGAGAAACTGAATGAAGGTACGACCAAATAGAAAAAGAACTTCTGGCTGTGCAATCCAGTCTTGATCGATTTCGTCAATATGTGTACGGAAAGGAAGTTATTGTCAAGTCAGATCATAAACCTCTGGAGATGATAGCAAAGAAATCGCTGGCGTTAGCTCCTCCTCGTTTGCAGAGATTACTACTGAGAATACAGAAGTACAACTAGACTATCGTCTACAAATCAGCTAAAGAAATGGCATTGCCAGATATATTGTCAAGAGCTCCATTACCCGAAACTGACGAGGAAATGGAAAAAGAGATTAATCTCGTTAGTTCAACCCTACCAGCTTCAGAATTCAAATTGCAAGAAATTAGAGAAGCAACAAAGAGCGACGAAGGACTAAGAACATTACTGAATATCGTTCAGAACGGATGGCCAGATCAGAGAGAGAGCGTACCGCTGTCAGTCCTATCCTATTGGAACATTCGCGATGAATTGTCGGTGATAGATGGAATCATCTTGAAAGGCGATCGTATTTTCGTACCATTGGCAATGAGAAAGGAAATGCTACAAAGAATACATCATGCATAATCACATGGGGATCGAGAAGTCGGAGCGAAGAGCTCGGGATGCTCTTTATTGGCCTTTGATGAGCAAGCAGATAGCTGAAATGGTATCGAACTGCTCCGTATGTCAAAGAGCCTATGATATCTTTCAGAGTACCAACCATACCTTGGAAAGTGGTGGCAACAGATTTAATATTTATGAAATTTGCTGTGTTGGTGTAATGTACTCAGGTAAATAAGATGCTTATGTGATGTTACTCTGAGTGTACACTCAGAATAACATCACACAAGCATCTTATTCACCTGAGTACATTACACCAACACAGCAAATTTCATGGTTATTAGATTACACTGATATCGAAGGAACTCGACTCAGTTCCGAAATATCGCATACTCGAACCGGCCTGACCGCGTAGCTCAGTTGGCAGAGCATTGGCTAGTATTCCAAAGGTTGTAGGTTCGAATCCCACCGTGGCCAGGCATATTTTTCAAGCCTGCCTGGTGTGGATATACACTCAGAGTAACATCACACGAGCATGAGATTTAATATTTAGTTTGGACAACTCGGACTATCTACTTATTGTTGACTATCTTTCCAGATACAAAGAGTTCAACGGTTATCACGTACACCAAGTCGATATTCTCCCGACATGGTATTTCTGCAGACGTCGGTACTGATAATGAGCCACAATTATTATTATTATTATTATTATTATAACATCTTTATACACGGTAACTAATCAACCATATTACCTATCAGTATTTACAAAAATTATAAAGGTTGTTTTTCATTAGGCCGTGTTATTAAATACAAAACTCGAAATACTATTATATAAACTATTATAAAAATATTAAAAGATACTAAGAAATGTTTGGGTCGAAGTGATACGTTAAATATATATATTACAAATGAATTAAGTAGATATAAAATTTTTACTATTATAGTTCCAGTCTTTAGCAGCAGCATATCCGAATGTCCTTTTCATTGAATTTGTTTTAGGCTTCGACAACATCAGCATCTTGTTATTACTTCTTAAATTATATTTATCAGAATTTGAGATTTTAAACATAGTTGAAACGTTTTCAGGACATTGGTTTGAAAGGGCTTTGGCCACATATGCTAATTTTTGCTCCTTTCTTCTCTCTTCGAGTGTTCTCCAATTTAATTTCTTTAAAATATCCGTGGAGCGAATTTCATAGGTATCACCTGTGATTACTCTAGCTGCACGGTTTTGTAGTCTCTGTAGCTTTTCTTTTGAACCTTCGCCACAGTTTCCCCAAACCATGGAGCAGTAATCAAAACTCGGTTGCACTAAAGCCTGATAAATATATTTAAGAGTTTCAAGAGAGACAAATGGCTTTGCACGGCGCAGCATACCAATGCCCTTCGATACCTTTTTACTGATGTTGTCGATTTGCTCATTCCAACATAGATTGTCATCAATCAGTACACCTAAAGTCTTTTTGGAATAAACCTGTTTCAATAGTTTCCCCCCGCATGATACGCTAGTATTTTTTTGAATTTTAGCTAATCTTTGACGGGTTCCAATGATCATGTATTCTGTTTTTTCAATGTTTAAAGTTAGCTTGTTTGAAAGAAGCCACTGGTGAATATTTTTCATTTCAGAATTTAGTGCTTCCTCCAAATTATTAATGCTATCTGAACATACTGTAAGATTTGTATCATCTGCATACATTGCCGGACAGGATTTATCCAAGCAATTTGGCAGGTCATTGACGTATAATAAAAACAAAAGGCGACCACGGTTCGATCCCTGGGGAACCCCACAACGTATTTTCCTGGTGGACGATGTTGCACTGTTCACCCTGCAGTATTGCGTTCTGCTTTGCAAATAAGATTTAAGCCAATCTAAGGCCTTATTTTGGATTCCATAGATAGATAATTTACTTAGGAGAATTCCGTGATCAACCGTATCAAATGCTTTACATAAGTCCAGAAAAAGTACTCCGTTTATCATCCCAGCATCCATGTTAAGTAACCATGAATCCGTATTTGCTAAAAGGGCTGATGCGGTGGAATAATTTTTACGGAAACCAGACTGACACGAACTCAGAATATTATTTTCATTTAAAAAGGAATTGAGCTGTGTACAGACAAGTTTCTCAAATAACTTAGCAATAATCGAAAGAATGGAAATCGGTCTATAATTGCCTCGATTTTTTTTGTCACCAGATTTATGAATTGGAGAAATTCTTGCAGTCTTAAGATCATCAGGGAAAATTCCATGTTTGAGTGAAGTATTAAAAATAAATACTAAAAAAGGCGCCACCGCATCACTTGCATCTTTCAAAAGTTTGGCTGGGATATTATCATGTCCAGTTGACTTAGACGTCATTAATTTCTCCAGTGGATTTAACACTTCATTGATATTAATGTTTTCGAAATTGAACTTATGTTGAGTTTTAAATTTCATATAACGTTTAAAATCAGAGTTAGTTTCCGTGATCTGGTTCGACAGATTTGGTCCTATATCAGTAAAATATTCATTGAACAAATCAGCTATAGTTTCATTTTCAGTAATAACCTGTTCGTCTATATGTAGTACTGATATATTTGTTGATCTAGAATTTTTATTAACTAACTGATTAATATGTTTCCACATTTGCTTTGTATTATTTCTGTTTCTGTCAACACAGTTTGTGTAATAATCTCGCTTTGCATACATAATTTTTTTGTTAATCTCATTGCGAAGACTTTTGTAAGCATTGTGGCATGCAGTTGAGTTTGTGTTAATAGCTTTCTTCTTGAGATAATCTCGGCGATTCATACTTTTCTTAATTGCATCAGTCAGCCACGGTGCCTTTCTGTTTCTAACTTTACGGCTTTGAAGTGGAGCATGAATGTCAGCAACATAATTGAATGTTGTTTGAAAGTTGTCCCAAAGCATATTTGGATCATTTATCTCCCAATTTAAATTAGATAAAGCATGGTATAAGTCTTGGTTAAAGTCTCGCTGTATGTAGTTTTTAAAATTTCTTGACTCAACAAATTTGGGATCATTTTTTACAAACGAAATTTTTCTACAAACGTAGATCAAGCTATGGTCACTTATTCCAACATGCAATACTCCTGAGTGCGAAATCTTTTCAGGATTGTTTACAAGAGCGACATCCAAAAGAGAAGCTGTTTTTTCGGTAATTCGTGTAGGCTGGTCAATCTACTGTGTCAGCTGGAATATATTAACTATATCATTAAAACGTTTAGTGTGATTGCTTAAATTGTTGGATAAAAAATGACAATTTAAATCGCCAACGATAATTAGTTCTTTATGTTCGTTGTCAAGGTTTTGAAATAATACTTCAATTTTATCAAGGAATTCAATTTGCGAATTCGGTGGCCTATATGCAGATGCAACTAAGACAGGTTTAGATTTAGGCTTAATAATTTCGAGGCAAACAGCCTCGACGTCCTCTGGGACTAAATCATCTCTATCAATTACGTTCAAAATGCTGCGATGGTAAATTGCAACACCGCCTCCTTGCCGATTACAATTTTTGGCAACCATGTCGTAACCGGGTATACTAACAGTATCTGTACTAATTGTTTCATCCAAACGAGTTTCGTTAATGCTCAAAACATCCAGTGGTTCTTTTTCCAAGTATATTTTTAATTCATCAACATGCTTGACTAACGAAGCGATGTTTAAATGCCCAACTCTAAATCCTTTCAAAGATTGTAAAAATGTAATGCTATTTTCACACTTTGTTTGTGGAATAATCTTCTCAATGGAGCAACTTGGCTCTTTTGGTTCGGTGTCGGAAATTTTGCTGTAAAGAGTTGGAACTTTACCTAGGCTAAAAATTATGTAAATAACTAATAAAGTTTTTAGCTAAAGTAGAAGATCCTAACTTATTCAGATGCAATTTGTATCTGTTAAGCGACTTACTGAGGATATTGTTGTTATGTATAACCTCTCTGTTGGTCAATTCAGACAATATTATTTCAACGTTGGGATCAATTTCTTTGACCTCTTGGCATAATTTGTCGATGTCATTAACTATCTCGCTTGCTTTTTTGTTAGTGGCGTTGTTTGTTCCCACATGTAGCATAACGGTATCTGGCTTTCGACGTAGCACGGGTTTTATATAATCGCTCATATCACCAACAGTCGCTCCTGGGAAGCATTTCACACCCACGTTCTGCTTTGCTGCTTTCGAAAGTTTGTGTTGCTGCAAACCTTTGACAATCGAGTCTCCCACTATTACAGTCTTTTTGTTGTTTTGTACTCTTGCTTGCTGACGCTTGCTTGCTGGCGGTTTATCTTTGCCCTCGTTGCTTCCATCGCTGCCAATTCGGTTTTTTATCTGCATCTCGTCGATAATTCTGCAGGATTCATTTAGGTCATCTAAGACCAGAAAGTTGCTTTGGCACCATGTACATTCAGCTACTCCGCCAGTTGCATTGCCGTTTACATTTGATGTGATGTTACTGCTTATTGTTCTATTTCTGGTCTTCGGTACTGTATTCCAGCAATTGCCTTGCCCTTGGTCTTTAGTCTTAGTCGAAGGATTAATATTGTCAACGGATTGGTCTTGGATGAGAAGTTTTAACGCAAGACGAAGCGAATCTCGTTCTTCCTCAGCTCTCGTTGCTCGATCTTTTAATATAGCATTTTTATGCTGTTCGTTTTTTAATTCAATTTGTAGCTTGCTTATTTCTTCGTTCGTACATTTAGTCTTTGTGCTTTCGCTCGACATTTGGCTTTGTAGGATGACTATGTCCAGTTTTATCCCATCAATTTCGGTTGCCATTGATTTACATCTACAAGGACAGTTGTCGGTAGGTACGTTTAGGTTTTCGCTAGTAGATGATAAACTAGTAAATGGTTGCTGTTCACTGTCCACAGTAACAGCGAGGATGCTGTCGGCTTCGTCTGGAAACCCGCCATTACCGGATATGTTTCCTTCTTGCTCGATGAAAGATTGAGGCTTTTCTTTGGCAAGTAGATTTATCAGTTTATTCTTTAAGCCGTCTGCCTCCGTACCTTGAAATAACAAGGTGCATTGCTTCTTAAAATACCAATTTAGTATAAGTTGGCCATTTTCTTCCTTGAATCTTTTAGTACCGCCACCGGGTGACGACCATTTGCCTTTAATACCAAGACTATCTTCGACAAATTTTTTTAGTTCCGCAAAATCATTTCTGCATTTGAGCTTGGAAAGGCCTTGAACTTTGATTTGGTCTAAACACTCCACAACCTTCATAAAAAATCAGACATTTTGTAGAGCTCTGTAAGACACGTCCGCACAGTTGACTTGTGACTTGCAAAATAAGACTTGAATAATACGTTCTGCACGCTTTTGCTGTCGAAGAATGCGAAGTAAAAGTGTTTTTGAGCAGTTTCCCCAAGTTACAGAGCATGTCAAAACATTGCATTTTAAAGCAAATTGTATGGATTTTTTTAAATAAAAGACCTTTTCGGGAGACCTATAGATCGTTTTCATCTGACGTCACGGCGGCCATATTGGCGTACCAAAACAATGAAATGGCGGGTGGTGTACGGTATGGGAATTAGCTCTTTCTTATTCAAATATTTCGTATCGTTTCACAACCCCACTGGGGCCACCGATCACGTGAGTGAAAACAATCTATACTCTGCCTTGAATTACCCAGAGGGAGGGACCGTAGACTCGTATTTTCCGAAATTGCTAACGAACAATGCCGAGCCGCCAGCGAGAATGTGAAATGAGTATACGGTTCATTTGGTGTTCATGTTACATGAAGTACGAATAAAGAATCAAACAATGTTTATAAACTTTATATGGTTTCACATGGTCTCACGACAATTTCAACAGACTATAAATTGTAAAATATGCATTTTAATGGATTTTACAATGAAATATGTTACAATTAACAAGGTAAGACGGCGTTTGTATTGTTTTACTAGAGTTTAGTGACTCCTCTGCTCCCTGTGCGCATAACTTTTAAATTATTACTTGCGCGTGACTTTTAAATTGATACTTCTTTTCGAATTTGGATTGTTAATATATTCAACAAGAATGAGATTCGATTGGGACTATTCTACAATGATATACTATTGGATACTGTAATGTCTAAATACACAGCAAGACGAATAAGTGGCATTTATCGGGCAGAGAAGCGGCGAGCCATTGCAATTTATAATGGCGCAATATTTCAGTATTTCACGAAATATCGAAGGACACTGTAACGAAGATAATTACACTGCACTGTTTCAAAACCTGATGAAACCTTCTTTGAAATCTTCTTCAACCATGTTATGTAAAAGTGCAACAACTGGATGATATTTGCCAGATTTCAGTTGGTGATCCTTATGACAATCCTCATGATATTTGTTTTTAGGAAATAGGGATATTTCACTTCTGCCAGGCACATCAGTTATTTATGCATAATCGGCAATTTACCTGGGGGTGGTGCATGGTCATTTTTTTGTAAAATATTATACTTAGACAAATTTTTCCTTCCACTGACCACCCTAGCCTGAAATGCCAGGTTCAAGCGGGGAGAACGCCTGACATTTCAGGCTACTGATCATCCCTAAAAGCAACCCTTCTGAACACTATAACACTTCAGAAAGGCTATCGCTTTTCCTTTTCGGAAGTTAAAGCTATGTCGGCACTGCTGTTTCAGGGCGGGATCATTTTCAGGAATTTTGGCCCGGATTCATGTTTTGGCACATATGCCATGTTGACTGCCATGGTCATTTTACCGTAAAACAGTTGAGATTACCTGTGCTAAGTGAAACGCATACAAACTCATATACAGGTCCTAGACCATAATAAAACTTAGATTCCGAGCTCGAATTCCGAGCTCGATTCCGAGCTCGAATCCGAGCTCGAATCCGTGCTCGAATCCTTGGCTCGGTATATAGTATATCTCTTTAAAAATGCTTTGTCATTTGTATTTGTACTTGTACTGCATCACAATGCAGGGCGTAAGTGAACAGATTCCACATGTGAGGTTGTCTTGTATATATTTTTGCCTTCTTTGATAAACATTATTAAACACGCAAATTTAGTGAGACGCACACTCGCACATGTTATATGTCACCTGCATGTCATCGTCATTGCCCTTTAACCCCTGGTCTAAATCATATGATTATTGAAGCTGGGCCGTTTTGACTTTGGGCCGTTTTGACCATAGTTAATAGAGGAGATGGTTTGGAAACTCGTTAGCATTACAATAAAATCACAATAAACCTCATTATCTATGTTGTTCAGGTTTATGCAAAAATGTAGTCTTTCATCGTCACGTGCGTATTGTATTTTTCTCAAGTCAGCCAATAGGAATGTTCAAAATGTCCTATTGTTAAAGTCATGGATGGGCAATTGGACAAAACAGTTGCTATTGGCTGGTTGAGCAAAAATACAATACGCACGTGACGATGAAAGACCACATTTTTGCATAAACCTGAACAAAAACATAGATAGTGAGGTTTATTGTAATGCTAATGAGTTTCCAAACCATGTCCTCTATTAACTATGTTTTGACCTAGCGGCTAGCACCGTATTTGTGGGCAAATTGTCTATACAATTTTATATACTAGATATCACAGCCATACCTGCCATTTGATCTTTTCCTCGCGTTAGATAAGTTGATAGGTACACCCATTCTTGTTAGTCATCATACCTCATGTTCGGCTGTTCCTCTTTCGATACGAAACTTCGAGCGCCGAGTTATCATACGGCACATTCAAGTGTATAAATTATGGATGATTCCAATTCATTACGAATCACTTACTCTTATTCTTTAAAATATTAAGAGGCAATTTTTTTTTCAATGTCACGTATTTGCAATGAAAAGTGTTCAAAACCTAAAATCTTTTTGGCGTTCCTCTCAAAATTACTTTGTTTTAGGTTTATTCTCTACAGTTTATAGAGTTAGCTACCTTTTTAAATGCGTCTGCCGGTTGAGAAACATAAAATCATAGTTTAAAATTGCCAATTAAAATACAATTATCAATGATGCCTTAAAGTTGACGTACTGTTTAATAAACGAGCAGGGGTGTTTTATTAGGTTTGAAGCCACGAGCGCCCAGCGCGAGTGGCTTTAGACCTAATAAAACATGACCTGCGAGTTTATTAAACGGCTTCAAACACGACTACAAATTCAATAGATTTACTGCTTTATTAGTATTCTTTATAGAAAAAATACTAATGAGGACACGACTACAATAGATACTGCCTTATTAGTATTCTTTATATAAAGAATACTAATTAGAAGTGTTTTATCAGGTTTAAAGCCACTGCACGTGATATATTATGGTTGATATGCTATATTTACAGCCATTTAAGCAAAACGTACTGAACTTCAGACATCATTTTCTCTTTGGCGTATCATCTAAAATCTCTTCATTTTAGCATTATTTTACAGATAAAGCACTAAACATACTTTTTAAGTTTTTTTTTACCGATTGAGAAACGTCTCGAAAAATAAAAATTTTGATTTTAGTCATAATCTCATGTGGTATATTATACGCATTAGTTTTAAGCGCCTGTTACGTCTCATTTAAAGATTTGGGAACAATGCTATACCAAGGCAGCATTCACTACCCTGTGGGTAAACTAGTTGTTAAATATAATTGAGAGAAATAACGCATAATATTACAGCTGATAACATTTGCGACTTGAATACGAAAGCATGAAAGATACTAGTTTTACTATAAAAAAAGAGATACGCAAAAAAACATGCAAGATACCACTTAATCTTTAATATTTTTGTTTACACATACGTGCATGTCCATAGTTTTTGCCATGACTGTATAATAGATGAATTTTTGGGAAAAGGAAATAGTCTGAACCAGTCTTGTTCTCAGTAACTTCGGGCACCCACAGTTCTCCGGGCCTCGGTCGACCAGTAGTTCATTTAAAAGTGTGTATTTTTCAATCATATAATGCACAGTAGATGAAGGGTACAGGCAAAAAGCAAATATTTACCACTTTTACATAAAAAATGCAAACAATACCACTTTTTAGATAAAAAATACAAACAAGAGCCGCCCATCAACATCGTTTCCTAGTTTTCAAAGTCTCTCAGCAGCTACATCGTTCGCAGGGTACTTCTAAAGTTCCTTTGGTTACTAGAAGTTACGGAAACCACTGAGTATTTGAAAACATAACTATATATCTGACAGGAATCGAACCTGCGGCCCTGCGATTCCGGTGCAGCTTTCTAACCAACTAAGCTACAGAGTCCAGTTATCGAGCTCTAATCCAGATGATCTTGATACGCGTAAAAGTACTGGCACTAGTTGTCAAATAGAAATCCATTTTATGATTAAAATAACTGAATATCTCCTGTAATATACTTTATTTCGATTCCATATTTTTGTCAGAGCTAGAGTTCTCATAACCAAACATAATTACAAAATTTCAACTAGTTTCATAAAGAATAACGAAAGATATAACTGACTGAATACATCAAAATGGATTTCTATTCGGACAACCCTTTCTGAGCACTGATTGGCTAAAATACGAACACGAGATCACCTGGATTATAACCGCAAGTTCACGTGTATATAAACGAAGGTGATGCCTATGTAAAGTGTATCAGTATCAGCCCTCCTGGCTTTACTTGATTTAAAAGTTATAAATTTGTGTAATGTACTACCAACGTGCCTGGCTGCTTGTTGTTCACTTGATCTCATGGCGTTCCTGAGGGTCCTTATGATTCTGTTGCAAAATGAGTTTTGGGTTAGGCTAGTGATTTGTTCGAGAAAAAGTTAGAAATACTAATATTCGCTCTATGTGTACCTGCAGTAGTTTCGTCACGAAACCACGAGGAACGTCATTGTGCTCGGTGTGCAACAAGCACCAAAGTCTAGTTTTTCATGTTGGGGTCAGGTGTCAATTGGGACGCAAGTCCTGTTCCTTTCCCCAGTCACCCTTGTGTCCTCTGTTTATGTAGATGTATGCGTAATAATTGTGTTTTGACAAATGATTAAATAAATTTTTAATATCGCTTGCCTATTGTTTACAAACAAATTGTTGAATATTCCTTGTAAATTTTTTATTTATTTTTATTAAATTTATTTATTTTCTCACAGACATAAAAGATATACATAGAGCGAGCAGGCTCTCTGGGTGAAAGAGAGCCTGCAAGGATCCCTATAATATTTACGTGCATGCGTCCAATATTTGGACGCAGAGCTCTGATTGGTTGCAGATAACTGATTCAAATGAAGTGATTGACAAGCTTCCATAAACTACACGTCCCGTTTGTAAAACTGAGCAACGCAAAGCTTCGGAATTGCGGCAATGTAGAGATAAAAGTGTCATGTATATTGTATCCTTGTTGACGTTTTACTGTAAATTAATATAGTATTATATAAAGACGAATACTAAAAGCTTGCATGTACAACTTGATATATTACACTATAAACCCTTCAAATTTTGAAAAAACAGTTTTTAAAAAGTTTTAAAAGAGTTTTAATTAAAAAGCAAAAAAAGTTTAAAAAGTTAGATTTTTAAAAAAGCTAAAAAATAAAAAAAATTTAAAAAGTTAAAAAAAATTTTAAAAAATTAAAAAAGTTAGGGTTAGGGGCTAGTGGTTAGGGGTTAGTGGTTGGGGTTAGGTGCCGCGAATTTATTATTATGATAAATTCAAAATGTGCCGCGAATTTATCATAATGATAAATTCGGACGTGTTTAAGAATTTACTCGTATAGTAAATTCAAATGTGGAGCTCATGCTAGAAAATTGATATTCGACCCCATAACAATTAATGGATGACTAGACGTACTAAGACAACTATGCACGAACATATCACAGATTATATGCAACTTAACATATAAAATACTGCACAATGAATTTTAGAGTATAATTATCTATGGTATGTAGGTAGGCAATTTGGCTTTGTAAAGAGTGTATAGATGGTGCTTGAAGATCTGTAGGGAATGGGTGGCTTTGATGTTCGGTGCATGGTAGATTGTTCCGGAGGATGACAGTGCCTGGGAAATAGGATTATCCGAAGAATTCTTGATTATTGGAGACGATTTTGTTATAGCTGTTAGGATCGAAGTTGCGTGAGGCATAGGGGTTGGTTGCAGGTGTAAGGTATTGATTAATTCAAAGGAGACATTAAATGTTCTGTGTTGTGGTAGTAGAACATGAATAAAACAGTTGCATTATCATTGACCTTTGGAAGACTGAGTATTTCTAAATCTTGAAAACTTGGTTCAGTGTGATCAAAATTTTATTTAAACTACATTATGCTGACAATTTTTTTGCGCATAATTATACTGTATTAATTTTGTATCCGTCTTTAATAATTAAATAAAAAAACTCATTAATAATTCATAAAAAGATTCAAAAGAAACGAATGTTTAGTCAATGTTTGTAAATCGGATAAAGATTTGTCCTGATTTACATCAGATAAAGATCGGCTGCAATAGGCAATTCCAGCTTTTAGTTTATGCGTGCAGGGGACGATGGGAAGTAAGGTATCACATTGCCGATTATGCTGAAAAAATAAAAATGATGGCCGTGTAAACACGGAGTGATAGCTTCCACTTGTAAATATTGAAATATTTCGGTTGCTTCGGAAGTTTTTATTGAAATTTTTCAGCATAATCAGCAATATGATACCTTACTTCCCATCATCCCCTGCAGGCATAAACTAAAAGCTGGAATTGCCAATTAGAGCCCCGTTTACACTACGCGATTTTTGGTACCGTAGGCCTACCACTTTTTTGGTTCTTCGACTACGTAAATAGATAGTCCAAGAACAAAAAAAGTGGCAGGCCTACGGATACCAATGTTATCCGAGGCGTACCAAAAATTGAGCGTAGTGTAAACGGGGCTTAAGACTGCCATATTCGTCACTAGCTTAAATAGGGACTTTAGCTAACAGGACGGCGACGCAAATTTTTTTTCCGTAGACAGTCGGACTCCTCATTGATAGTCGGACGCATCATTGTTCTTGAGTATTTTCGGAACCAGAAAAACAAGTTTGTAGATTTACAATGGTATCGCGAAGCATATCGTTCATCTTTCTGGCGTGGTCGAAGAACAACGTGGAATGATGGATATATGGTGCACCAGTGGGTTACACAGGGTACGAAGGGATCCATCAATAACGCGCAGAGGCCTGGACGCGGATCAATGATGCGTCCGACCATCAATGAGGAGTCCGACTGTCTACGGAAAAAAAATTTGCGACGGCGACGGCTATTAATATAATGAAATTTATGACAGTGTAGAAAGAAAACGCATAATTAAAGTCCCATGGGAGTTTTAGACGTCGTCCTTGCTCTGTTTACAACAGCAAACCAAAGATTTTCACATTTTGTATACAACGTCTGCCTTTCAAGCCGCGAGAAGTCGTCCTCGCCAAATTGGCTTAGTAGAAGTCTTCTAACTATAAACCTCTGTCTTAACCTTCTTAAATTGCAATAAATTCATACAACGGATAATACAAGACATATTGATCTTAAAGTTACTTATTCGAATGAGTTTATTTTGGCCGTCGTCGTCGCGTTGCTGTCACCTATTTGCTAAAGATCCCTAATATCTTGTGGAGGACAACAAATCAGTCTCGAACTGTTTTATTGGGGTAAAAATTTGGTCGAATACCAAATGGAATATTATAAAAGAGTTTATTTACATGTGTGTATATACAACCATGTCTTTAACAAAGCACACATGGTCACATGCATGCACACTTACTCAGTGCTCAAATCGGAAATTGAAACTTGTGCGATATTGATTATAGCTTCCAATTTTGAGTGACTCTATATATCAGAAAATTTTAACATAAGTTAGCATTATTTTATTGTATACATGTATGCGTTATTTTTCTTAGCGTACATCATTAGCCTACTTTTTTAAGAATCATGAATTTATATATCGTTCATTTATTATGTATATAGCTATTTAGTACACCACTTAATGCATGTTAATAGAGAAATATAATAAAAAAATTGAATCATCGAATACTTACATAAATAATATTAATATATATGAGAATACTGCATTGAAATTAGCAATTAGTAGCTACATAAATTAGCATAATCAGCAGTATAAAGGCGGCGAAAACCGAACGTTGCGCCTCAGTTCGGAAGTCAAAAGGAAGATTGAAGTTTAAATCGTAAAAGATCTTAAAATGAAGACAACGTATTTTTTACTTGTCCTGGGTCTGCTGTATGCAGTGGCTTATTCGCTTCCAATTGAAGAAGATGAACCTTTGGAAGATGAATTATTGGAAGGTAACCAAATTTAATTGGTACTTATAATGCAAGTGTGGATGTCCATAAGGTCATCCACAGTTGCAACACCAGGGAGAATAAAATTTTCTATAAAGAAATTTACTATAAAGAACTCATTTCACTCCTCGTCTGCAAAATTATGGAATTTAATACCAATGTGATTGCCGAACTCAGAAACACTGCATGAGTGAAACTAAAGCTATTTATTAAAATTCTGATCTTACTTACTTGTTGTCATCTTTATATATGTAGTTGAATAATTTTTACTTACGAACATTTTTTAACAACGTTTCTTTAATGTGTTAATACAGCACCTCTGCTTGGGAGAACAGTTAAAAATGTAACTGATATATAACTGCGCATCCTATCAGTATTACGAACTCGATCGGTATATTGAAAAACCTCTCCGTCATTCAACCCGTTCCAATTCTGGTAACTATCTGCGTCCAAACTTACGAAGAAAAGTCCTCTTTAGAGATTCAATAGAATTGTGTATTTATAAATCTGCTTGATCATGCCTTATTGTGATGTCAAATTGTCCTCTTCTCTTTCTATCCTTAGAACTAAACTATACGAGTACTACAAAAACAAACTGAACACGATATCAGCGATATAGACAAGCCTAGAACTTGGAAAACACTGTGCAGTATAGCTAAATGTCTAGTATTAGCATACTCGATGGGTAAATTATTTGTAAGGCGTAGTAAGATTTCTTAATTCAAAAATCCGCTTTCTTCTTGATTGATTTTCTATAAATTAGTAGCCTATATATAATTTTCGGTAATCAAGTATCATAATTTGGATTTGACCCTCGAACAAGCCAATTAGTTAATTGTTCAAGTGAGATTACAATTGTAATTTTTCTGTGGTTTTGTATATGCACAACGTTTGGTGGGATTTAATAAGGGACTTATGTTCTGCTGTCCTTACCACCGATCTCTATATATGATTGTTAAGCAATTAAATAAAGTCTCGTGTTTGTAACATGTAGCATGTTCTTTGGTAAAGTTAAAATAAGTGATGTAATTAAATTGTTTCTGTTTGTTGTTTTTAAGAAAATGACGAAAATGCTCTGACAGAAGATGAGGAAGACGACGAAACGTAAACTCTGTGACTTTTTTATTACATCGCCCAGAGGCCAATTTGTTTCAAGCTCGTTTAACTAGACATATAGGCAAATAGTCTGATTAAGCCATTGAGCACCAGCGCTCTCACACCTTGACGAGTAAAATCGTCTGGCGTACTTAAGTATCATGGAAATAAATAGTGTGTATTGGTATGCATGCCAGTATCACACAATCGATACTTAAATTTAACGCTAATTAATATTGTATTGAAACGCATGAAGACTGCAGAAGTCTGGTGACCAAATGTTATTTCTATATTAAGGTGGCTCGATACAATTGTTTAAAAATGAAAAATTCACGACTTAGATCCGTATTTCTGTACAATTATTACTTGTTGCCGAAAAACAAAAATATTTACATATTGATGTAAAACAACATCTTAAGGGTTTGAATTTTTTCACAAAAGTTATGCACTGCTGTTGCCATGGCAACAATGACGTTTCAATAAGGCGGATATTTTGGTTTTAAAGTAGTTTAATTTAACTTGTAAACGGCGTCGGTGATCATGACCACAAATTTTATTTCTTAAAATGATTCCTTTTAGTATACTCAATTATTTTGACAATTTCAAAAAACGTCTGTTTAAGCACAGATTAAATAAGGACAGATGTATAACTTCAGTAAAAAAGTTGTCCCATGGTCGCCATCTTGCTATAGCAAGTGTCGCTCGCGTGATTATTCGTCATTTAGTAACAGAGATGTAGACTCGAGTCGTGTGACTTGGACTCGAGTCAAACTCGAGTCGCAATTTTTGTGACTTGTGACTTGACTTGTTAAAGAGACTGATGACTTGTGACTTGACTTGGACTTGGACAAAATGACTTGTGACTTGACTTGGACTTGCAAGAAATGACTTGTGACTTGACTTGGACTTGCAAGAAATGACTTGTTACCAACGCAAGTCAAACGTAAATATCTAGTGAAAATCAAGTTTTCCAAAATCTTTGTGTTGATCGATCGATCGATCGTCGTGTTATACAATTTGGGCAACGACCTTAGTACATATCAATGGCATCGACAGAATTTGTGCCGGCGTATTTTCTGACAAAGCGTTTTTTTCGCGATTTCGTGGTACAATTTCTGACATAAAATAACGACGCCATATTTACATATTTTGCCGTTTTGCGTGGGAAAGCATGGCCACATGTGGCGATAAAATGACGTGTGACTTGACTTGAATTGACTTGCCACTCGGAATGACTTGTGACTTGACTTGGATTTAGAAAAAATGACTTGTGACTTGACTTGAACTCAGACCAAATGACTTGTGACTTGACTTGGACTTGCAGGAAATGACTTGTGACTTGACTTGACTTGCAACATAGGACTCGTTAACAACTCTGTTTAGTAATACGTCATTGTTTTCAAAAATGCTTTCAACACCTTTTCTACAACTTTAATTGTTTTCAACAACTTTAAACATTCAACAAATGATGTTTTGAGTGTTTAATTAATCCATAAATTTCGATCCAAAAAAGTCGCAATAAAATGCAAAAGTTCGTGTTTCTCAGGACGCCATTTTGCTATAGCCAGTGTCAGACGCGAGCATGACGTGTACATCTAGGGAAATTTGAGGACACGAAGTCCTATTAAGTCACACATCTGGTATTACCTCTGGGTATATACTTCATCTGTGGTTTAATGGGTTAAAAATAGCAGCCGGCTGTTATAACCGGTATTTTCACAGCGCTATAGCCGGCGACTTCTAAATTAGCAACGAGCTTTTCTTCTTAATCCATTGATCTACACAATGAATTTATAAGTTTTAAATTAAAAAGATGCTGACATAAAAAGATCGCATTAAGAATTCTGGTACCCACGAAGAAGGCCGGGGTCATAACTTTGTGATGAAAATCATAATAACGTTGTCCATGGCTCTTTTATATGCACTATGCTGGGCATTGATTTTCATCTTACAATTTTTGAAAAAAAAAATTTGATGTTAAAAAGATTGTTTTGTTGCAAGCGTTCTCTATTTTTGCTGCCCATTTTGCTGCGGCTTTTGTACATGATGGATGTTTTCTGCGTAATCATATATTCGGTTTGTCATAGCATGAAATAAATCGCCTGTATATACACGCGCAAATATATAGCCTACAACTATATCTAAATTCAAGTTATCTATTTGGAACCCTGATATTGGTGTTATAGTGGCAATTTTGATTTCGATAAAATCGATCATCTTTGCAGCGACGAAATCGAAGCAGATCCTGGTTTTCGTTATGGTTATCGCAAGGGATGGGGCAAGTACGGACGCAAATATGGACACCGTTCTGGTCGAAAGGGCATTTATACTCCTTATACTCCATATACTCCTTATACACCTTATTGAGAATTACGATGGTAAGTTATGCGCCCATTATATTAAGATCTAACGTCGCTGCTTATTAAATATCTTGCAGATTATGCGCATCTTTCCGAGAAGGGGCTTTGTGGCGCAGTCGTCATAGCAAGCGCCTTTCACCTCTGAGATCGTGGGTTAATCGATTCTCGCCACAAAGGGTCTGCCAACGCTCTTATCCCATACCTGTGTTAAAAGCGGCTTTCTGATTGGTTTAGAGCAGGTGAGCTTGTCGTCGAGCTCACCTGCTTTTTGCCGAACTCACCTGCTAAACTGCTTACGTTGCAATAACAATAACAAATATGGCGGACAAGATTTAGCCGATAAACCTAAACTTTAAAGAACTTTTTTCGGAAAAGAAAAACCAAAGAAAAAATGCAGTAAAGGTAATGTAGACGTAGATAAAGAAGTATTTTCTTGCCCAGTGATTTTTTTGGCCGGGAAAATGTTCACAAAACATCGACGAATATATCGCGAAGAGCTACAAATGTGTGTATGGCTCGGTGTATGGGATAAAAACCAAACGTACTTGCAGGTTCGGTGATCCCGAACTCACCTCCCTGCAAGTACGTTTGTTATATGACGAAATAGTCGTGGGTTTTCTCCGGGTGCTCTGGTTTCCTCCCACAGGGAAAGTGGACAGGGTGGGTTAGGATAAACACAGTTAATAAAGTATTATCACAATTTTTGAATAAGGTTAAATAAAAAAATAGTTGCAAGGTAAGGAGCTACAAATTATTAACAATTATTGAATTCGGCTTTCGCATGATATGAAGAATTAAAAAAATCATTAATAATTCACAAGGAAAATACAAAAGAAATGAATGTTTAATCAATGTTTGTAAATCGGATAAAGATTTGTCCTGATTTACATAAATTTCAGCTTTGATTTTCTCGGCTTAGACAATGTTTATTTTTAAAATTACTTCGCCAATGAACTCATAAGATGGGTAATTTTTTAAGTACTAGATAAAACATTCGCATCCGATCTGTATCTGATATACAAACTCGAGCCGAAGGCGAGAGTTTGTATATCAGATACAGATCGGCTGCTCATCGGCTTATCAATCTCGAACTTCGTGTTATCAACCAAAGCCATAGGCTGAGGTTATGTTTGCTGAGGATATGTCCGAGTTCCCTCCAGTCTGCCCTTTGTTAACCTTTTTTCCTTTTGCATATTTTTTTTAGAATTATCACCTGAAGGACCACGATAATGTCTGTCAACGTATTAGAGAAATTTGGACTAAATGTTTCATGTTTGTAACTGTAACTGACTACTAAATAAAACTCTTGCATTGCAACATAATAGATTGTGTAATTTTATTGCGTGGATGACGTACCAACATAGAGCTGTGCCTCATCGGCGGGGGGGGGGGGGGGGGGAAGGTTGGTTAAAACATTTCCGCTGCTCGGGGGGCCTTATACCAGTGTTATACTCAATGTAATAGGCTCCTTCCACAGGGACCCAACATGGAAGAATGGCTTACAAGATTAATTAATATAAAATTTTAAGGGAGTCGTGTTACATTTTTGATACCATCTCAAAGGGTAAGTTACCCTCAATGTTACGATAGGGTGCCAAAACCTAATTACGCGTTAATTAAAGGGGCCCCAAACATTTTAATCCATAACAACTGTATTTAATAACAGACAATCCAAAACGTAGAAAGTTATAAAATCTACATTACAAGAAGCGAAAATATAATGCACATGCCGTTATACCGGTCAGAATCGAATTGTTTTGAAAGTAGAAATTAAAACCAGTTAGGAATAGACTTTGCTTGATTTCAAAAGTATACCAGTCTGTCACCGAAGTCGCTCTTACATAACTTGTACAAATACTATTTAGATGTTTACGCGTTTTTTTCTTCGGTGTGACGTTTGGAATGATATCAACTATAGGTTACGATATCAATAATAAGCCAGAATAGACGAAGCCTACACAAACAAAATAATATCAGTTTACGATTTTAGTACTTGATCAAATATAACGCCTAAGTTTTTCTTTGTAAAAGCTCGAAAACAAGAAATTACATAAAAGTTACGCGTAATTAGCTGTAAATATATAGCTGAACCATAGTGGCTGAACACATTGACACCCAACTAAGATTATTCCTTCAAAGCGCGTCATAAGGGCCTAATAACAATATGGTTAAAACATTTTAAAAGCGACGTTTTCTAAAAAAAACTTTTACTAAAAAAATCGTTAAATTAACATAATTTCTTGTATAGAAAGCTAGTTACATAACCGCTTTACCGGAATATTACGCGTCCCAGGCTCAAACAGATTAATTTGCGAGCAGATATTGGTCAGTCATTTGAAGCTAGGTTGTGCGATTGGCTAAAAATTTAATGCTGATTTAATACCGTCATGATTTAATTATTTAATTGAAAAAACTAACTAGGAAAATCAATTAGCATAATTGAAGATCAGCAAAGTAGCAAACTTAATGTTTTAACGTTTTAAAACGTTTTTATTGTTAAAAAAATTGAGTTTACTGATCTTGAATTATGCATAATTAATTTTCCTAGTTAGCTTTTTCAATTAAAAGGGCTGAAATGCGCCTTAAAAACCATCATTCAAAAGGCTGAACTGTGCCTTTAACCAAAAGACATGTAGTTACTATTAGATACACGGCAAAAAACGCCGAGCCCGTTGCTCAACAGGACAGAACAATGTTTTGCTGCCCACGTTGTTCACACTTGTCAACAATATTGAACAATGTTGTTGAGCCTGAATCGGGTGTAACAATATTGTTCAATATTGTTGACAGCTATGAACAATGTGGGCAGCAAAACATTGTTCAATCCTGTTTTCATCAGTATTGCATCAACCTGAGCGTTTTTTGCCGTGTATAATAAAGTTAGCTTTATTCAGTTATGTTTTATTATAATACTTGGTGTTTCCACAAACAAAAAGTATTATATGTTTTATCGCCATGCAAACCTATAAAGAACTTATGTTTTATTAGCTTGGTTTAATACAGTTTTCTTTGGTTTAGTTCAATTAATAATTCAAGCACGTTAGGTGAAAGAACAGCCCGAAAATAAGTAAAACACACGCCAAATCATTGTGGGAGAATGGGTTCAGGGTGAAGTGAACCAATTATATACATTATATTCTCAAACTCTGGTCAACCCAAAGACTCATTAAGCCTTATGTTTTCATCCCGCAGGCGTATATATAAGACCTGCTAGGAGAGACTGAATGCTCCATAGGAGCTCTGCCCGAAGGGTAGCGACCCCCTCTGACATAGACCTGAACCAAGGGGTGATAATCCCCTTGGACAGTACCTACGATTCGACTGATTATATTTACATAAAAAACCTGAGTCTATGGGCCTGAAGTTGACCATTGGGAACACTTCAACCCCGAACCAAAATTTATTTGTTTGAACACTTAAGTATTTACATAGCGATAATTTTCCATGAGAAAATTGTTCGATAGTCTTTCTTGACAAATTGTTCTTGAACAGTCCTTGCATAACATTAGTTAGTACCCATACAATGCACCAGATATCAGGAACATGAACGGGTGGGTGGGTGGGTGGAAATTTTCTTTCTCGGTAACAAGACATTGCTCTTTGTTGGGATATTTGTCAAAGTGAACTCCCTTATCACATTGACCTTTGTTCTGAGTGTTCGTTGTTGACATATGATTGGTCAGTTGATCTTTCATTCGGTTTACACATGCCCAGAGAAACATTTGAACTTTGGACTATTGGATATCGCCTTTTTGTGGCTGTTGACAAGCTTATCCTGTTACTATGAGATTATAACCAGGTTTGAAGGTGACAAACGTGTTGTCTCATTAACTTGAATTTATATATTGTTATATATAAATTTGCTTTAATAATTCAAGCACGTTAGGTGAAAGAACAGCCCGAAAATAAGTAAAACACACGCCAAATCATTGTGGGAGAATGGGTTCAGGGTGAAGTGAACCAATTATATACATTATACTCTCAAACTCTGGTCAACCCAAAGACTCATTAAGCCTTATGTTTTCATCCCGCAGGCGTATATATAAGACCTGCTAGGAGAGACTCTCATTAACTTGAATTTATATATTGTTATATATAAATTTGCTTTTATTTTCGTGTGCGTAACTTTTCATGATGATGTAATTTCTTGTTTTTCGAGCTCCTACAAAGAAAAAACTTACGTATTATATTTTATCAAGTATACTAAAATCGAAAACTGATATTATAACACTACGTAATATGGATTAGTTTCTGTATATGGAATCCCAAGTGACATATTTCATATCAGTTGATATTACAAATACGTATACTATGACGTGGTATATATATACAACAAAGTGAATTAAATTACCATACTCAGCGAGTATAAATATATGCCGAAAGCCTTCGCTTGAAATTAGTTAAGTCAAAGAGAAGACGTTAAAGGCATTCAATGATTAAAATATCTCAAAGATGAAGACAACATATTTCTTTCTCGCTCTTGGTGTGCTCTTTGCTGTTGCTTATACAATTCAAATCGAAAAAGGAGCCGACAATGGTCGTTATGGTTTGGTTAAGCATGAAGATGAAGACAATGTCGAAAGGTAGGTGGCAACCTCGTTCCCAGGGCTTCAGTGTGGGACGAGGCGAGACACGAGGAAGCCGTGGTCCGGGCCGGTCACGTGACGTCAAAAAATGGCAGTATTTGACAGCTACTCGTCAAGGAGTGGCGAGATATTCTTTAATGAAATATACAAGTCTTCGAAACAAATAAATAGCCAAAAGACTTCTCAATCGATATTATTTATGTGTAGAGCGAAGTTTGACACGAATCAGCTAAAATCTATGAAGATCCCGTCTATGTTTTCTAAGGCAAACATATATGTTTACTACAGGCAAAGCTCTGCATCCAAGCTGCATCTAGGCGTCTCCATGCAAGTGGTGATTCACACGAAATTTCCTTTCTCTCGTCTTCAACAATATGGCTATTGCTATATTAATTAATATTTAGTTTAAATATGCTCTTATAGATCTGACTTAGTTCAATATATTAAATAAACACAAATATAAAACCTTGCGTAACCTGTTTACGCTGTACAGGAATATACGGTTCGCTTGTTTCACCTATGTTTCGCCGGACACCAACACTTGCCGTTCAGGAGGAATGC